TTTTAAATATTTAAAAAAAATAAACTTGAAAAATTTTAAAATATAACTCAAAATTCAAAAACTCAAAACTCAAAATATAATTCAAAACTCTTCTTAAAATTATTTTCAAAATTCATAATTAAACAAATTTTCCATTTTCAAAACTAATTTCAAAAATTTAAAACTCAAATTATGATTCCAAAACTAAGCCAAACTAATGTTTTTAAGGTCATAGATTTGATTATTTTTTATTTATTTTTTTTTTTTTTTTTTTAATTTTTGAATTAGTCATTTCGGCAACAACTCATATAACTAATAAAATGAATCTTTTAGATTTGGACAAACCTACTCAATGTTATGAATGTAGGTTCAAGTTTTTATTTGTGCGCAAATTTGCGACTCATCACTACATATTAAACGCCTTTCTTGTAGCACAAGAGTAACTTTTGGAACTTAAGGAGTTGTTTGGAATGACCTAAATAAGTATATTTTTTATCTTTTTACGAAAAGATGTGTAAAAAAGTAGAGAGGTAATATGATAAAAAAAAGATAAAAAGATAAATTATTTTTGAGTTGCCAAACTTGGCCTAAATTTCATTAGGATCTAGCCCCAAATTATCTGTGACTAAAAAAAATGAAAAACACAAAATTCATACAAATTTCTATTGGTTGTTGAAATGGGTTGAGGTTGGTATTAACCTTTTAAACTTTTACAAACTGTGATTGTAGTTAAATTAATATAAATATACATATATATAATATTAAAATTGCAATAATGTGAACAATATGTGTAAACAACGCCATTTACTAAGCACTATGCTTTCAAATGCCAAACAGTAGTCATGCACTATGTTTTAAAACTAAATTACGGATTAGTGGTTTAATTGTTAAGTCATGCGGAATTAAACTATAAAATCATAATTATATTATCATAAATGATACAAGTCCCACAAACACCCCACCCCCACGACCTCCACGTACACATGTCAGAGAGATAGGGCAAAAAAAACAAAAAACAAAAACACACATGACCAATCACAATTATTTAAGAGTCATGGGAGTCTCCCAAAATGGGGTCCCAAGTATTTTACTTATATTATATATGTATAATATTTAAGATTATAAAAATATATACTTATATGGGTATATGCAAAAAAGAAAAAAATGAAAATTTCTCCACCATTTCTCATATTTTTCTTATATTATATATGTATAATATTTAAGATTATAAAAATATATACTTATATGGGTATATGCAAAAAAAGAAAAAAAATGAAAATTTCTCCGCCATTTCTCACATTTTTTTTATTATTTTTTTTTATAGATAGGATAATTAAAAAAAAAAAATTTGAAAGCAAAAGAACCAAACAATCAAACATTTCTCAGTTTGATGGAAGAACCTAAAATATTTGTAAGAAACTAAACTATATGCACTAACATGGAATCTATTTTTCTCAATTTTTATTTTTATTTTTATTTTTCGGCATAAGCTAAAATTTTACGTATTTTTGAAACTCATTGACCTTTTGAGTTTGACTGAAATTTAACTCAATAAATTTATATGCAGTATAAAATTATATTAAAAAAATGAAACTATTCAAGTTTAACCTATCATCAATTCTATTAGAACCCATTTAAAATTGAATCAAAAGATAAAAGGTAAATTACAAATACACCCTTGAGGTTTATTTAAAATACAGATTATTTTCTGTAATTTAAAAAATTACAATTACTCCCTTGTCAAAAAATTTTTGTTTAATAGAATTAACTACAAAAATAAAATTTATAACTACTCTCCTATACAATAATAAAATTATTAAAAACTGTTAATTGACTTGATTTATTAATAATAATAAAAAAGGTCATTTGTTATGAAATTAAAATTCTCAGGGGATGAAATGTAATTTCTAGAATCATGGGGCACGATTTATATTTTATACAAATCTTAAAGGGTGTATTTATAATTTATCCAAAAATAAAACAAATTAAGTTTAAACATATTTTTTAAAATTTATTAAATTTTCAAATCAAATTTAAATAATTTATTATTTTACTTGTTTAAAGGCTTACGTCAGGGAGGATTGAATTCAAGTTGTAAAAGCATTATTTGAGTACAATGTTGATCTCGACTACTCTAAAAGCAAACATATGAATGTGATGTCGAATGTCATAAAAGACAAAAGTAAAACTCTGCTCAACACTAACTAATTTTAGAATAGATAGTAAAACTCGATCAAGCAATTTTTATTGTAAAAGCCATCAAAGAATGAATTGACAAGATGAGGCACATGGAGTTGAGAAGACCATTACTCACTCCTTTTATCAGCCTTGTAGACTTGGAGTTTGAGAGATAGTTTAAAACTTGGAGGGAAAACCATGCTAAATATATTTATAACTCTAGGTGGATACATTTATAATTCTAGGTGTGTTAATCAGTGGCCGCTCAATAATTTTTCCTCAAAGTGGATATTTAAAATTTTAATTTTTTGAAAAATAGATTTCTCAAGCAATTTTATCCATAATGGCATAACTAATAAACAAATAAATAATAAACCCAATTTGATGTATACTAAGCCCCCATTTGCTACATAATTGGGATTAATTTACTCAACTAAAAGATGAAATAGATTAAAAAATCATTAAAACTAAATGTCACATTCAAAGCATAATCATTTCATTTTTTTTCTCACAAAATTACAAAAATGTCAAAACTTTATTCCAAACAAAACTTTTTTAGCCTATCTAAAATAGTCAAAAAGCTAAAATGCCAAGTTAAAAAAGTTCTTCCCAAACTAAGCTTAAATACGCACAAATAAACATTTATTGAACAAGTGAAAAAAAAAGAGAATGGCTGGTCTCCAGTTGAAATTTTAATTGGACCAGATAGTTGAGGTCGTTGACGAATAAGAGTTATTTAACAAAAGACACTAACCGGTAAAAATCATTAAACAGAAGACTCTAATAGATAAGAGTCTTTGAAAAAATTCAATTGGGTCATATTTTCATAAACTCTTACTGGTAAGAATCTTCCGTTTAATGACTCTTACCAGTCAAATACCTCAACTATCTGATCCAGTTCAATTTTCAACTAGAGATAAGCCACATCCGTAAAAAAAATATTTGGAAAAACTATTAAAAAATCCTAGAATTTAACCCTTGTAACAAAATAAATTTTAATTTTGTCAATTTAAATTCTAATCTTTTAATTTTTTTCAATCTAAATCATTCGCCTATTTTCATTCAGTAAAATTGATGGAAGAAGTAAATTTTAATTATTAAACTCAATATAAATGTACCTAAAATGTCTAAAATATCATTTTTTGTTAAGTTCAATGACTAAATTATCATTTTTTTATTAGTTTTATCTAATGAAAATAGACAGTATAGATTGAAAAGAAATCAAAATATTAAAGTTTAAATTGACAATTAAAAACTCATGATTTATTTTATTACAAGAGTCAAACCCTAGTATTTTTTCTGTAATTTTCTCAAAGTATTAATAAAAAAAATAGATACTACAATAAAGCTCCAAATATTTGTCGCTGCAAAATGAATAATCACAATTATCTCTGAATAGAGAAACACAAAGATTGACAAACCGTTTAAACAAACAATTTAAATTATTTTAAACACTCCAACACATCCAAAATTAATAAAGAAACACAAGCCTTAAATTAATCAAATTGTTTTTGGAATAGAGTGGACATGTTATAGAAATAGTGTTCAAATTTTTGGTAAATTGGGTGTAGAGCCTTTATTTATTTTATTTTTTTGAACAGCCAAAAAAAAAGGGATAAATTACCAATAAATCCCATTTCACAAACTGTTAAACCAATTAGTCCTAACTTTATTCTTTTGTTCGGATAAGTCTTATTAGTGGAGAGGGTTGTTTCTGTCTGATCCTATTTTCCATATGTGGTGTCACTGTGTGGACAATTTCACCCTTTATTGTTATGTTTTCATATTCTGTTATGGGATCACGTGATTCGTTCGATTTTGTGGCTATCACAGTTGATATTTCAATGGTACACGTTTCAGCCTTTTCGTCTTAGGGTATTCTGTTGTATCTCGTCCAACTTCCTCACCCATTTCGTTCTCTGCAAGTTCTTGTCACCATATTAGAAAGAGAGAGAGGTCCCCCGTGTGTCGTCCCTGTCCATCTCCCTCAAGCGCTCAAGTATGGATGCATGTATGTGTCTGTGTATGGTGTGTGATGCTCTCTCTCTCTCTAAACCGTGTATGTGTGTCTGGTCTGTTGGGTGTAATCCTCTCCCTCCCTCAACCGTGTGTGTGTCAACGGTCCCTTGGGTGTGTGTCCAAATCTATCAATGCGTATGCATCTCGGTCTTCAGCGTGTGTTGTGAATGTGTGTGTGTCTGCCTGTGTGGTGATGTGTGTGTGTGTGTGTGTATCTGTGTGTGTGTCTGCCCCAGAATCACGTGTCTGCCCCTCGTAATGTATGTGTGTATCTGTGTGTGTGTGTGTGTATCTGTGTGTGTGTGTTTGTATCTGTGTATCTGTGTGTGTGTGTTTGTATCTGTGTATCTGTGTGTGTGTGTGTGTGTATCTGGTCGAGAGGCTGCTCGAAGTACCGGGTTTCGTACTGGTATTTTTGTTGGGTCATGGATTGGGGTTTTGTGAGGAGAGAGGATTTGCCGAGGAATCGAGGGACCCATTTGGAGGAAGATCGAAACGAAGCTGAGGCTGCGGAGAGAGAGAGAAGGAAGATCAGACAGAGAGTGAGAAGTGGAGTGATGGGTTTAATCGCCATTGTTATCTGAGTGAGTGAGTTGGGTCAACAGAAGAATTCGGGGTTGGGTTTTTTAGGAAGTTTGGTTGGTGCAGAGAGAAAGTGAAACATGGTACTAAACGGTTAGACGAGGGTAATTACGTCCCTCACAATTAAATGGGACTAAATGGTTTATTAGAATAAAAATAGGACCAATTGGTTCATAAGTTTACATTTTGGGATTTATTGGTAAATCTCCCAAAGAAAAGCATTTTATCAATGTCGATTAAGGTTACACAAGTGACCTACATCAATAAAATACAGAAAGAAAGGGGAAGCAAAGAGCATCACAGCCAAACTCTTCAATCGTAAATAGGTTGGTACCGAGAAGCCAGCCCAATCATTTGCTAGCTCCCCACATAATTGGTGAGTGCCCAACCAAACAAGATAAGATGTCCTCAAAAAAACAAGATAAGATGAGAACAAAGAGCAAACTCCAAAACCAAAATCTGAACTGCCTCATAACAGAGTGCAAAACTCTTCCCACAACTCAGTGCACTACTCTGCCTCCAATACAATTTCTGATCTGCGCAAGGGTTTAGAGTCTTCACACCAACAAACTAAGGGTGGTCAAACCAATAACTCAAGAATGTCAAAAAAAATTTAAATACCAATTAACCATCCAAAGAATATATATATACATGTATTATTTTTCTTCAGGAAAATTTATGTGGCGCCACCGTATCAATGCTAATAACTAAAATAACAACAATAATTTTCAAGAATTTGTGAGAGGAGAAAACAGACCCTTATGCTGAGTAACATTTGAAGAGGGGTTCATCGTCACTGGTCATAGACTTTAGGAGAAGTCTGCGAATCAGAGGGATCAACATATCTCCAAAAGAAACCCAAACTGCTACCCATAATATTCATGAGCACAGCAGATAAGGCCGGGGGTAATGCGACCATTGGCGAGGTGAAATGGGAGGTTGCTAAAACCACACCTAATGATGAATTTTGCATGCCAACCTGCAAGGAAGTACAAGTATTAAGCAAGGAATATAGCGCTGTTTTGGTTGTGTTTTTTTTTTTTTCCCCCCCTGGAAAATACCAAAAAATTGTTTCATTTTCTATTTTTAGGAAACAAAATTGGGTTGTTTTCAGATCTAAAAACAGTTTTCGGAACAACTTGACAAAGAGTTTTTTTTTTGTTTGGTGGTATTTTCCAGAGGAATAATAAAACAAATAAAAACAAAAAACGAGTTGCCAACCAAAAAGAGTGACTCATGTATTTCACTACAGATAAAACCTATCAGTAAGAACCTTCTTAAACATTGAAGTTAATTGGATTTCGTTATGAATTTTGGCCAGGGATTAAACTCATTTGAAAAGAAGTTTTTAAAGCTTGATAACAAATAACCATTCAAGCTCTTTAGTACCTCAATTGATATTGCTCGTCGTTGTGGCTCTCTAAACCCAGAAATAGCTGCCGATATATACCTGTAAATAAATACCCGTCATATTATACATATGTGTCAATCAATTAATTAACAAAAATAAAAAGTTTCACACTTCAGCATTGACAAGAAAGGATTGGATTACAAAAGCTGTCAAAGAATTGGACAGCATTCTGCTGCATTGTCATTGTCAAAGTCGTTAAGCACGAAGGACAGATGAATACAACAGAAAGACTGAACAGCTGGAGCATAAGCTGGTGTGCTTTCTGAAGAGGTTGCAATACATTTTGGTCTTTTTTCAGATTATAAATTGGCCTATTTAGAGGAGCAGGAGTATGTAGTGAAGATATTGAAATGTAAATTTGGAAAGACGTGTGTACTTTGGGAGGCCAAATGCATGTCCTTCACAAAATGGTACACATTTTAAGATAAATCCAAAATTCATCTTGGTTGGAGGCCTTGAACACTAAACTTTGAGACCATGTGCCCAATTTGAGTAACAGCGGACAACTTGAGCTCAATATGAGCTAAGAATTGGTAAAAGTAGCCAGGAGAAGCCTGTGCTCCCGAACAAGCTCCAACAACTATAAATGGAGAAAAAAAAATGTTCCACCATTCAAAGCAAATGGTCCTTACTATTTCATACTCCCATTGGACTATATTAACTGAAATTATAAACTTTAGGAACTTAAACAGATGAAATTCTTAGTTTTGGGATTAAATAGAAAAAGTTGACAATAGTTTAGGAGATGAAAGTAAAAGTAACTCATAATAATAATAATAACAACAACAACAACAATATAAAGATTTCCTAGGGCTATCATGAAATAAAGAAAATAGTATAATGCAATAAAGAGAAAGAAATAAACAGCCAAAAGAATGAGAGGGCAATGAACCCTGTAATCATCACAAACAGAAATTTCAACATTAATGCACAAAGCAGGCATTTTGATTTCAAAATAGCAAAAGACGACAAAGGGGGAAACTCTTACCCAACAAAGAATCCTGCAAAGTGCAATAACAGCACAGAAAGTATTATAACCCCAAGTTCACCAGATAGGATTGCTCGAGCATGAAGAAGAGGTGATGCTTCAGACGATACTGATGCAACAACCACTGAAGATTTCAACCGAACAACATTTTCTGAGAATACACTGACAAATAACCAGAAGATAACCAAATTAATAAACCGTTGTAGCAGATAAAGTCTGGACAGTTGACGAGGTCACACCGGACTGATGGAGAAGCTAACCGGAATCAATGTCGGGACAGTTTATGTGGTCATGTCGGACCGTGGGAAAAGCTAACCGGAATCAAATGTCGGGACAGTTTATGGGGTCATGTCGGACCGTTGGAAGAGTCGCACCCTCAAAAGGTGTGCCCAATCTTTCAAAAGGCGTGCCATCAAAAAGGCGTGCCCAATCCATAAAAAGGTGTGCCCGACATTATGGCGAGGCGCGTGACTACCTTGGCTTGCGCGCCCGTTTTGTCGTCTGGCGTCAAGTGGCGCGCGATGCGCGTATCTGCCTTGGCTATTTAACCAAGACGGAGGCTGAGGCGAAGGCAGAGGCTGAGACAAAAAACTGCTAAAAACCTCTGAAAAAAACTCTTCGTTGTCTGAGAGAGACTCTGTAATATTCTGTAACACTCTGTTGCCCAGAAAATGGCCTCGTCTTCCCGTGGTCTGCTCACTCTCTTTCCCGACCTCAACGAGTCAACAAGAGAGATAACTGATGTAGTGGCCCGTGAACCGCAACCAAGCGCCTCTGGTTTTGCGCCGTTGAGCTTTCCGATGCGGTCTGTAGAGCAAAAAATGACAGTGCAAACTGATATTGAGGCCAATCAGTATACTTTGAAGTCATGTGTGGAGACCATGACGGCGGTCACAAACCTGTCGCACCGGCTGCAGAGTAGGACAAATGAGGTGCAGCAGTTAAACGCCCAACTGGCTCTGCTCCAACGCATGTATAAGGATGCGCGAGCAGAGATAAGTGTGCTAAAGGCGGAAAATAGGAATTTGAAAAAGATTAAAAATAATGTGAAAGAAAAATAAAGAAAGAAATAATAAGAATATATTTGAAATCAAAACGAAAGAGTGGGGAAAGAAGGAAAGTGGTTCACGTGGTTTCTTGGCCCACGGTTTTGTGAAAATCGGCATATTTTGGGGGTTTTTTTTTTTTTTTTTTTTTTTTTTTTTTTTTTTTTGTGTGTGTGTAAAATTGTGATCGGGGTTGAGCCCTGAGATGAATAAAATATGGTTTGGTGTGCAAAGCTATATGGTATGAATGGAATTTGAAAAAGATTAAAAATAATGTGAAAGAAAAAATAAAGAAAGAAATAATAAGAATATATTTGAAATCGGCAATGGTGTTCGGTATATAAAAATAGATATATATATATATATATATATTTTTGGTTTAATAATAATAATAATAATAATAATAATAATATATTAAGGAGGAAAGCATGTGCGCTGGTGGGTTGGAAAGTGAAAAAATGAGAGAGAGAGATTTCAGAGAGCAGAGAGAAGGGAGATGCATGAGGCATGTGAGGTGTAAAGTGGAGGATAAAATAAGAAAAAGGTAAGGAAGGTGATGATGTCTGTCCCTTGGCACAAAAAAAGGTACCAGTACCACTCTCTCTATGCTGGACAAGACCGAGGTACCAACTTGCTTTGCACTCCATTTGAAGACGGTCAACAAAAGAGCAACTTGTGCCGAACTTGATGGTGCTTGGGGTTTCAACAGAGTCTCTTTGCTCTGTTTAGATTGCATTCAGATTTTCAACGCTTTCATAGAGATTTCCAAGGCTGCCAATCATGCTGGTATTGGCAAGGAGCCTGACTACAGTCCCAACAGGAAGAGAAAGAATGTTGAAGAGGAAGTCCACAAAGTCTTTTCCAGCTTCTGCAAAGAGGACCTTGTGGGCCTTTGTGTCAATGAGTAGCTTCAAGCTCACCTTGGAGGATGACATGGCTGTTAACTTGACTGTGCAGGGACACTAACCGAATGGCTCAAGAATTGTCGCCGCCAAAGGGAAAGCACTGTTACGGACACAGAATCACAGAGATCTCTTCTATACATGTTCAAGTTGTAGAGAGAGAGACAGAGAGAGAGACAGAGAGATTAAGAAGGAAGGATGTTGTTGAAGGTTCCTTCATCGTCATGCAATGCCGGGAACATTCAAGCCCTAAAGAAGCGGTGCCAATTTCTGGGCGCTTCTTCGAGGCTCATCTCAATTCGCCGACGAAACGCTTTGTTTTCTTCTTCTTGTTCGTTTCTGTCTCCGTCTTCTGTGAGAGCTCCTCTTTCGATTCTGGCGGTGGCCACCGAAGAGAGAGAGCCCAAGGGCTTCGACAACAACTTGGCGGACCGTCTCCGCCTTGGGAGCTTGACCGGCGACGGCCTCTCCTATAAGGAGAAGTTCATTGTCAGGTGTTATGAGGTTGGGATTAACAAAACTGCTACTGTTGAAACCATTGCTAATCGTTTGCAGGAGGTGGGATGTAATCATGCTCAGAGAAAGTGAGGTGCCGAGAGGGAGAGGGAGGTTTGAATTGGTTGAGATCCGGCGGGCGGTCAAGGCAAGGTTGCCGCCCGCCGGAAGGCGAAGAACACCAAGATTTTTAACCTTGCTCTGATACCATGTTAAAATTCAATGTATAAAGAGAATTGTATTATTGATAGATATGTTATGTTTACAATGAGTCCTATATATAGAAGATTAGAGGAGGTAGGTATGTAGTAGGTGGAGTAGTAGGTGGAGTAGGTGAAGTGGGTGGAGTAGGTGTAGTGGTAGGTTTTGGTAGGTTTTAACAATAGTTTAGGAGATGAAAGTAAAAGTAACTCATAATAATAATAATAACAACAACAACAACAACAATATAAAGATTTCCTATGGCTATCATGAAATAAAGAAAATAGTATAATGCAATAAAGAGAAAGAAATAAACAGCCAAAAGAATGAGAGGGCAATGAACCCTGTAATCATCACAAACAGAAATTTCAACATTAATGCACAAAGCAGGCATTTTGATTTCAAAATAGCGAAAGACGACTAAGGGGGAAACTCTTACCCAACAAAGAATCCTGCAAAGTGCAATAACAGCACAGAAAGTATTATAACCCCAAGTTCACCAGATAGGATTGCTCGAGCATGAAGAAGAGGTGATGCTTCAGACGATACTGATGCAACAACCACTGAAGATTTCAACCGAACAACATTTTCTGAGAATACACTGACAAATAACCAGAAGATAACAAATTAATGAGAGAGGAAGAACGAGAATCCTCAAAAGCACCATCTTAACAACAAATTATTCAGATGTATAAAACCAAAACCTGCATGCAAGAAGTGATGAAGTCAGAACAGCAAGTAGTGGCCCAAAAGGTGTCACAACTTTCACGGCTGCAGGAAATGTGCTCTGCATATAAGAACCTAGCAGAATCGGAGCGACAACAACCTAGACAAGAAGCAAAGACGACCAAGATTTCCCTAAATGAATATTTGGATTCGAACTAGGAATGCGAAGAACAATATAAATTCACATTCACCTGCATGGTGCTGATGGAAAGTTTAACAGCATCCACAGGAACAAAAGTTCCAGCCAGAATCTTGGTCAAAAGAGGAGTAAGAATTACTGCTCCTAGCGTGGTGCAAACCGTCATTACAATAGATAATGGAACATCCCCTTGAGCAATTAAGGTCACCTGTAACAATAATTCACAGAAATAGAAATGAATGGGAAGTTCGCAAAATTGTTGCTGATTGTATTTGAGTATTCGTATAATCGTATTAGTATTGACCTGTTTCGAGGCTTCATGTGAACTTGAATATGAATTCCTTGTCCATCTTTTATATTAAAATTTCCTAATCCAGATTGATGTCCATTTTCATTGGATTATTAGAAGCAGAAAACAAAAATCTCACTTATATGCAAATTTAAGTGTATATACCCCGTCCAAACCTCGTAACCATTTGATGGAACCATTACAAGATAATATCATTAGTTTTATTTATTTATTTTTTAACGTGTGCTCCCCATCATAGACATTGGTGATAGAGAGCGAGAGATCGTACAGTGTGTACCAAATAAACACAAGGACTTAGATCCAACTGTCATATTATTCTCAAAACTTCAAATTGTTCAGAATCTTCTGACAAAAAGGATTCTTTGATAATAAATTTAAAGGCTTTAGTACAACTGTCCATGATGCGAAGTGTCAAATTGCCTGGGTACAAAAGTAATGTGCAATATATAAGCATGAGGGGATCCTCACCTCAACAATTAGCTTTCGGGGTTGAGTTCTACCCAAGACCGTATAACATGGTATCAAAGCCATAGTACCCAAGGATGGGCAGGGTGCGTGTCCTTTGCCTGCACATAGTAGGCGCTGCCAAGTGAGCACGTTGCACATGAGAGAATCAATAACTAGACACCCATTCTTGGTACTCTGGCTGTGATACCATGTTACATGGTTTTAGATTCGCTAATGAAGTCATAAATATCACAATTATTTTTTTTACCACAAACTAAAAAGGCGGAGAAAAACTATTCTAAAAAGTAGCTGTATTGCGACGAGTTTACTCTTTGTCAAAGAATTAATTTGCAGACACCAGGACACACAAAAGAAAGACAGCAATAAACTAACAGGTATCTTCAATCTTGATTTTCAATGGAAACAGGGTCAGATAGTTTTGGAAGCTGGTTATCATTATAAACATAATTTATGACAAAATAGCCTCGTTTGGGAACCCTCCTTTTTAGCCAAAAAGTTACTAAAAATTAGCCAAAAAGCCAACAATTCATACCAAAAAGTCAAAGATTCTCTTTTCTTTCTACTTTTTGCACACCTTTTCGTAAAAAGCCAAAAAGTCATCCCAAATATACTAGTTTTTTTTAGCTCATATTTTAGCCAAATAAGTAAAAAGTTACTAAATTAACCTGTTCCCAAACGAAGAAACCTAAGAACGTTGAAAAGTTGTAACCCAGCCAGGTCTGGAAGGTAGTGGGTTGGAACCTTACGACGCTTTTTTGCAGGAAGGCCGTTTCCTGTGACTCAAACTCACACCACAATGCTCAGGTGGGTGATGAGGAGAAAAAAAACTTACTGTATAGAAAACAAAGAACACCTTTCTTTTTGGCTAAGTAGAAATCAAAGAACACAAAAAAAATATAATTGGCAAGTGTAGGCATGTTTCCCAAAATCCGGACATTTCACAATGTAAAACTAATCCTTAGTGTATTCAATAAAAAGTTAGTGAAATAGATGGATCAAGATACGACAAAAATTGCTCTTACCACGTTGGATGCTGTACCTCCAGGGCAACAAGCAAGCAATATCAAACCAACTGAGACAGCAGGTGGAAGCCCCAAGGTTTTGCTAATGATCCATCCAAAAGAAGGCATAATTGTATACTGAGCAACAAATCCAAAAAGTATCTGCTCATAACCCAAAACAAGGAAATTGTGAACTAGGGAAACCTGAATATTGAAGCCCACACTTCTATTTGCCAAACACTTATTACTCCACAGGAAAACCAATAAAAATTCTCCACTCCAATCATTTTAAAACCCTATGTTGAATAGTTGAACTCAACTTTGCTGCTATTTATTTATTTATTTTTTCCTTCCCAAAGTTCGTTTGTTACTAGTAATTGTTATGAAGGAAAAAGCAAGAAAGGGTCTGTTATATGCATGTGTACATTGTAGAAGTAGCTACCAAAATATTAGGGAAATTTTAGTCAAAACCCCTCAATTGGACCCTTGTTTGGTGAAAATAACAATCCAATTTATTTTTCTTCATAAACCCCCTAAGGAGAAATCTCATAATTGAGTAATGACAAAGTAAAATATTTTTTTTCATTTTCTTTCTTGGACAATATTACCAAAATAACATGTTACTATGAATCAGAGTAATATTTTATTGTCAGTTACTATCAAACAAAGTAAATGTTACTGTGAGATAGAATAACATGTTACTGTCAAATAAAGTAATTGTCAAACAGAATAACATATTACTGTAAGACAGAGTAACATGTTACTGTCAAATAGAGTAATTGTCAAACAGAATAACATATTACTGTAAGACAAAATAACATGTTACTGTCAAACAAAGTAACATGTTACTGTTACTATTTACATCAATTTCAACGGTAATAATTTTTTTTTTTAATAAAGAATTTCATAGCCAACATAGATCTTATTTAATAGGTTTTGATAAGAGAATTCTAAAAATATTAATTTTATTAAAAATCGACATTTACATCAAAAATTACATTATTTTAAAGTTTAATATTTTGATAATTGTAATATTTGTTAGACTTTTTAAGAAAAACTTTTTGTATTTGTCCTTAATGCATTAAAATTTTATTATGAAGGAGTTTTGACCAAATCCCCCAAATTATTATGCCACTTGAGAATAATTCAAATTTCCCATTTATGCCACTAAAAATATAAAAATTAAAAAATTCCATTTATGTTATTTTCTTGAAATTCAAATTGGACAGTGTGAAAGACCACATGAAACATAGTTGGACAGTGAATAAACTGCAAACACACTTTTCCAAATTCTATCACCATTGCAGTTAACAAGTCCTATAGGCTCTGTGCGGGGAGCAAATATTCAGGCAAGCCCGCACTCCTTTCTTCCAAGCTCCAGTTCGTCTGATCGACCTGCGAGCACAACAGCGGTGAGCTACCCGGCGGTGTGTGGCCGGAAAACCCCTCCGACGATCAAGTTAGACACACACACAGGGATAGAGAGAGAGAGAGAGGACTGAGTTGTGTTTAGTGTTTATCTCACCAAAAAATGTGTCATCCCCAGTATGGGGGGCGCAGACATGTTTATATACCTTCTGCGCCCCAAATCTACTCTCAGTGATCTCTCAACACGTGGTGCTGCTATCCCATCTGTCTGCACATATTTTGCCGAACATCACCTAACCCCAACTGCCAGCCCACTCTACTGGGAGCTCGGCAGCCGGGCTGCAGCATCTCGGCTGTCTACGGCCATGCCGCGCTTCACGCCCAAGTGCTCCAATAACCGAGCTCCTTTCCAGCCGTGCTCGACTGCATTCCGGCAAAGCCAAGCTTGAGATTGGTCATACCGGTCAACCAAAGGACTCCCTGCCGAGCTTCAGGCACGAACCTTCATGCCGAGCTATGGATGCGTGCCTTCCAACCGAGCAACGCATAAACCATGGAACCCTTACTTGACCGGCCTCCGTGCCGACAAGGTTATGTAGCTCGGTTTCACACGCCCTTTGCCATTACCGAGCAAAAAATCATTTCTGGGTAGACCCTGGATGCCACGGCCCAACTTGTGTTTGGCCCACAAGTTGTCCGGTATTACCATGGCCCAGTCCAGATCATATTTCTCCCTCTCAATTGCCCCTTAATCCCGTCCGCGCTAGCATGACCGGGATTACCTGTTCCGACCAGGATGAACTCGTCCTCGATTCACAATTTGCAAGAGGCAAACCGGGATAATTTCCGCGCTCGGTTCCTTGCCTTGCTCGGTCGACGCCTCGTCTGACCTTCCTGTCTCCTCACTCTGACGCTGCATTAATGGGGGACAGGTGTAGCGTGCTCTGATTGGCCTCAAGTAGCTAACTGTCCCTTCTCATTCAAATTTTGGCGGCTTTTCAACCTTATATGCACGCCTAGCTTCCTTCATTCCGCTCTTCTTGCCTTTCCTTTCTCTTCGACGTCCCAAAGCTCGTGCCATTCCTCCCTTGCCATTTCAGAGTTTGTGTTCAAAGAAGGAGCCATTGCCCTCTACTGGTAAGTTCTTCTAGCCCCTCTTTTGTTATTGCATTTGTTATTTCTTCACTCTAGGGCACAAAATCCATAGTTTTAGGACATATCCCTCCCAAAACCCTCACTTGACCCTCTTATCTTCGATGTTCTTCATTTTCACTGATGAACACATGAATACACGAAGAACTGGGGCGGACCGGGCTCCAGGTCGCCTTTCGATCCCAAAATACAATAAGACCGAGCAATTTACTAGTTTGTCAAAACCTTTAGCAGAAACCGAGGTAGGCAGGGAGCTTGGCCGCTCGACCGGGCTAACATCTGGTTCGCTTGAGCGGCCGAGCTCCTTGGTACACCTTCAAAACCGAGGTGGTTGGCACTCTTCATGACCGAGCTAAAGTCAAGCTCGTTTTGCGCGACCGCGCTCACACTTACCATTGCCATCATTTTCCTGCAGAGTCCAAGGGGACCACTGACCAAATATTAAGGCTCTCAAAGACCGAGCAGCCATCAAGACACCAATCTGTGCCATTCCACCTCAGCCGAGCTAAACCAACCGGCTACACATGGGGCGCTTCCGCTTCCTTGTTGACACCCCGGCTGCCTTGGCCGTATTCCGGGAAGACTACGGTATCCTGGCAGATGTTCACCTAGAGCTCGCCGAGATCAAGACAACCCCTTGGGGCAGATTAGACCAGTGCCCCTTCATCGTTCTTTCCATTGTTGAAGGAGGCCTCCGCTTCCCGGTCAACCCTCTGTTGACCGAATTCCTGCGCCGTACCGGGCTAGCACCCACACAAGTGTCAACCAACACCTACCGAATAATCAACGGCATTCACAAACTAAATAACCGGCTAGGGACCAACTTAGGTTTAGCCAAGATACTGCGACAGTACACCCTTGGGCACACTGGCGATGGCCTCGCTTACTACTTAAAGATTAGGCTGGGCAAAGAAAAAATAGTGACCGGTACCCCAGACAAAGACTTACACGACGACGACTTCTTCTGGGTGTCCGGCAATTATGAAACAGCCGACGTACCGGACTGGTTCATTAGCAAGAATTTCGGCGAGACATGTAAGCTGTGCTAACTTTCCCGATCAATTGCCTTTGTTCCATAATTTGAACTCTAACATTTTTCTTCTTTCCTTTGCAGCAATCCACGCCTTACAAGCCAACTACCACTACCCCAACGAGGAAGCCATCAGGGCTGTGCTCCGTTATCGCAACCGGGATTGCAACGAGCTGCTCGGCTACACCCCAACATACCGGTACTCTGCTCCACGCCGGAGTAAGGTCACAGACTTCCTCCGTGCTCCGTCACCTCCTCCTGACCCAACACTACCGGACGTGCCCCTAATCCGGTTAATTGTGGAAGAAGAGATGGCAAAACGAAGCCGTATTAAAAACCTCCTCACTGCAACTTCCGCCGAGATACCAAGCGTCGTCACCCGCGCTCCAGCTGCCGGTTAATCAAGTGGCGCCGTGGTGGTGTTGGCGTCTCCAGCCGCCGGTCAAGCCAGCCAAGAAGCCCGCCGGGCTGGGAAAAGGCCTCACGCAGATCCCTCTGCCGAGCTGGTTAAAGAGCTGACTACCAAGCAACCCACCGTCACCATAGACCCATCACTGGCATGGCGACCGCAGCTCAAACACCAGGGTAAGGAGATCCCGGCAACGGCCTCCGTGAAGGGCGACAAAGAACATCTTCTTGCCTTTGACCTCTCCAAGGCCCTTCTCCTGCCGAGCAACGTGATCGAAAGTGACCATGTCCCAGATACCCGGTTGGTGAAGTCGGCCGTGAAGTCCATGACCAGGGTAAGAGTCTCAAACTTCTTCTCAAATTTTCACAAGTGTTTGCACGGTTTCCACTCTGATCCAATTTTCTTCTTGCAGGCCATCCAGAAGCAACACTTGATCATGGAGCGCATCCATCGACTGCGGCAAAAGGCAAATGACACTGCCAGCCAAGTCCAAAGCCTTCAGACTGAGCTCGGCCGAGCAAAGTCCCCTCTTCAGATTGCTAATGCTGACAACACCAAGTTGCTTGGCAAGACTGACGCCGCCGAGCAAGAAAGAGATGCAATAAAAGCCGAGCTCGAGGCACTCAAAAAGTCAAGGAAGAAGGAGTGCGAAGACGCCAATAATGCCGGCTTCAAGGAGGCCGAGGACAGTTACAAGAAGCAAGTCTTTGCCACCCAGGACATCTACTTTCAGGCGGGTTGGAAGGCTGCTTGCACTCAGCTCGGTCAAGGTCCTGATACCGACGTGTTTGCCTCCCCACCGGCTGTCTTCCTACCGACCTATCTCGTGCCATATGCCAACGATGTCTTCAGTGCGTGCAGACTGAGGCCGAGGAAGGACTTAAAGGAGAAGGTGAGGCAGATGCTGGGGGAGAGGACCGCCAAGAGCAGGAGCAGCCGGGCCAAACTGCGACCGGTGTCCAAGATCAAACCCCACCGATCAACCTGGAGGAAGCTGGCAACGAATTCACTAACCTTTCCCCCTTAGTGTAGTTTTCTTTGTTTTGCTTTCTTTTTGCTCTGCACATGTAACCGGGCTATCTGCCCCACCTCTTGTATATAGTTTTATCATCAATGAAAAAGCTCAATTTTCTTGAAGTGTTTGCACGGTCTTAAAGCTGAGTAACCTCAACCGGACAAAATACTTCGGCAACATTAACCATC